TATACTTTTTGTGTAGCCGGGACGGCAGGTATGCTCCACCACACTCATGAATATAGACAACTCAAGATCCTAAAGTTAAAACATCTATGTAGAGCTGGGAGCATGGCTCATGTGGTAGAATTCTCACTCTGTCCCTAAGTTCAGTTTTCAGGCTGCCAAAGTAAGTGTGTGTATGCACACATGTACACACAATCCTTTCTCTTAAAATAACTTAAATGTACTTCAAACTATGCTGACCATCTTTGAACAAAGGTTTATTATTATTATTATTTTCTTGATGCTGGCCCTAGGGATTGAGCTCAGGGCCTGAACACTATCCCAGAGCTTTTATGCTCACCACTTGAGCCACAACTCCACTTCTGGCTTTTGCTTATTAATTGGAAGTTGACTCTCACAGACTTTCCTATCCAGTCTGGCTTCAAACTTCAATCCTTAGATCAGCCTCCTGAACAACTAGGAGTACAGGTATGAACCACCAGTGCCTGCTCAAAGTTAAATATTTTTTACTGGAAAAATAAATAGACAAAAGATTTTAGAGAAGCAAAAGGTTGCATATAGGTGAATTATGAAAAAAAGTATTTGTATTTGTTAAAGTAATTTAAAATTTTTCTTAATTTTCACTAATTGTTTTTTGTTAAATGCATAAATCTTTTCATTGAGTCAAGTAAATTTAAGCATTTTTGTGCTTATTATCTTGACTCAAGTTGCCTTTATGCTATTTTTTATGTCCCTATAATTTGTGAAGATACATTTTTATGATTGTGAGTTATCTTTTTCTTCCATAGTTTAGTGGATTATACATTACATTCTGGATTTTTTTTTTGTCTACTTTATACCTTATTCTCTAGAACATGAAAACAGATTTGGGTTAGATACCTTTTGCTTCTCTTTTTAAACAATTTGATATTTAAATCCTAATTACATTTTTGAATATTACTGTTTCCTAAAGGATTAGAAAATATAATAGTGAACTCTTGGGACATTCTTCATTTTGGGCTTTTTCAATTCCATTATAACTCCTTTTTTTTGAAACTTATTTTTTCAAGATTATGTGTATATCCTCATGATACTGTGTCTCTTAAGTAAGCTTTTACTGTTTTTCCTAAGGTCTATCTCATTTGACCTTAGATTTCTGGTTTAATTTTTTATTTCCTTCTCCAGAGTCAATGTTGTATCTTGGCTAAGTAATTCTAAAAAAAAAAAAAACTGTGTGTTTTGTTTGGGGGAGGGGATATAATTGCTCACTTTCTGAAGGTGAAAACTTTGAAACTGAGTCTTCTGGAAATGCTCTCATTTCTTGCACTATTAAAATTCTGAAATAGAGCATTAGAACATATATAGTAGGCTTTATGATTTGGCTAAAAGTTTTTGAAACTTTTGAATTTTCTTCTGACCAACTCAAAAGTTAATTCTAGAAGTGATACCCTTCAAAGGAGATAGATCCATGAAAGTAATACTTTTGATAAAAGTTTTTGTAGCTTTAGGAAGTTGAACCTTCTAGCATCTACTTTGATCCTCACAACTTGACAAATTTCTAGTTTACTCATATTTCTTCATTAAACTTCATATGCTAACCACAATTCTTGGGGCTGGTGATACAAAGGCTCTGCTTTTATTAAAAATGTTATTTTCATCTTATGGCCAACTTAGACTGTTGGACACTGAGAAATCTGTGAGAAATTCCTTTTCATCTATAGAAATGCCTTTGAGCCAATAAGAATGAGTGATAACAGAGTTACTCAGTAGAATATATAATATAATACAAGTTATGTTGTATATATATTTTATATATATTGTGTTATTACTTCTGATTTGAATATAATGATCTTCAGTCATTAAAAAATTGTGTAAATAGACCAGGTGCCAGTGGCTCATGCTGGTAATCCTAGCTACTCAGGAGGCCAGATCTGAGGATCATGGTGCAAAGCCAGCCCAGGCAAGAAAGTCTGTGAGACTCTTATCTCCAATTAACCACCAGAAAACCAGACATGGCTCTCTGGCTCAAGTGGTAGAGCACTTGCCTTGAGCTAAAGAGCTCAAGTGGTAGAGCACTTGCCTTGAGCTAAAGAGCTCAGGGACAGCAGCCAGGCCGAGTTCAAGCCCCACAACCAACCATAAAAAAACAAAACAATGAAATTATATAGTAAAGTGGTTTTTATTTTCAGTGTACTGATTAGTAGATCTGTAACACTCGCTTGATTGAGGTTGTATTGTGGAATTGGTAATACTTTGTTAGCTTTGGTTTGAAATTTGTTTTTGACTGGTTAAAATGTTAGTCCTTCAGTGGAATACTTAAACTCTTAAATATTACATAGAGGAGTGCTGTTTATTAAAACAGAATTAGGCAAAGTCCTACTGTATCATTTTTATTAGTCTCTATCAATGATATTCTCACAAAGATTGCTCTTTCTTTGAATATGACCTTATTTTGAAAGTACTGTAAATGTTTCTATATAAGTGGTATGTAATCAAATCCAGAGTCTTCCCAAATTAATAACTTGTAGCAAAGGAAAACCAGCTCTTTTGGGAGATTTCAAAATAATTTTTATTTAGCAGAATCTGTGTTTATCATTCCTGGCTATACAAGTATGTAGCAGTTTTGATACTTTGGGCAGAATAATAAACAGGTTACATTTTGAAAGTGATTTGGCTTAAGAGTTTATCAGTGGGTCTGTTTCTCTTAACACTTTTATTTTACTGGCCCTGTAACTTAAAGACAGGTCAGATTTATTTAAATATAAGGTGGCTATATTTTTATTATGGCATTTTGTGGGATGTGATAAAGGTTAGGGAATATTAAATTTTAATAATCTGAGCAAGATGATTTCTTGGAACTTTTCATTTTCAAGCTTAAAAAGATACTATGTATTTTTCTATTTCAAAAAACATTTTTGCCACTATTTATCATTGATTAATATTTGACAATGAAAGAAAAACTTGAAATCTTGTTAATTTCTAAGTAGATTTTTTTTTCTGTCTAGAACACTATAACTAGATTTTCCTTAGATTTAGTGAATTTAAAATTCTGAAGTAATTCCTGTGGTTTATGTTTAAGCATTACTATGGTTTGCCAGGAAAATTGGTTAGAAAAGACTAGAGAATTTGCTTAATAATTTGTATCGCATTTTATAGTGCCTATTAACCTCATATAGGTTTAATAAAAAATGTGTATGAGAGCTCTGTTGTACAAATTTTTATTCCTTTTCATTTGCGGAAAAGAGTTACCCCATAAGAATTTGCCTTAGAATACTTTGCTAATCTGAGGGATTTTTGAAATTTTTGAAATTACATTTCCTGAGATACTCAATATTCAAATCTTTTTTCTAATTTATTCTTTCTTTTTGTTCCTCATCTACCTCTTCACAGCAGTAATATTGTACAGTACTTACTTTAAAATCATGGATATAAAGGCATATTTTTCAAAACTCAAAATACTTTAGAACTTAAAATTTAAAATTTTTAAGTGGAAAAAATAGCTGCTGCTTTGGCTCATGAAATGCTTCTTTAGTTATTTATATGATATCTCCTTCTTAGACAGCAGTTTCACCTTCTTGACTTCAGATAATCTTTTTCATTTTCTTTATTTTTGGCACTACACATTGGATGGTTAAATTCACAGGTTATCTTTTCTTAGGCCAAACTGTTTTCATTTGTACAGAGTTGGATATGTTCTTAGCCAAAAGATTAGTTAACCTTCATCTTTTGAAAGATGAGTCTAAATATTGTTAGGTAATGGAATAACTATTCCTTTTCAGCTTTGGGTAAAACAAAAAAAATAAACTGGCTGCCAGAGTCAGTACCAAAGCACTAACTTTGATGGGTTGCTACTTTCTTAGAGAACAAGAGAGCACAATCCTCGTTCCACTAACAGGTAAGGAAACATTGTGATAACTAGTTGGTGTGAAAGGGAGATTGCTTGGTAGCATTTTTCATAATTTATCCCAAAATACAGCAGTGCCCCAGGAAAATAGGACACTGTAACATAGCAAGGACACTCAGCACCTGTAAATTTAGAATAAGATATGAAATTTACTAGGGACATATCACTCTGTGCCACAAAGTAGAATTCATCTATTTTCCTGAGGCAACACTTAAAAATATATCCTGCATTCCCAGTAACTTTATATATATACATATATATGTATATATATTATATATATATATATATCTGCCTCTTTTATTCTCCTTTCAACTTTTCCTTGATCAGATGCTATGTGCTTTGAACTTCTTCTCTCTATTTACCTATTCCTATAATAAAGCTATTTTCCAGTATCTTTACCATCATCTATAGTTTTGTATATCTTACTGCTTTAATTTCTACGTTGTAGCCATTAATGATTATTCCTGGTCGATCTTGACTGAAAACAAAATGATCATGCATTTAAAAAAAGATACTGAATCTAAAGTACCTGTGCCCATTATTCTGCCCTTCAGTTGCAAAGATGGATGCTTGAAGAATAAGCATTTTTCAGTTGACAGTAGTTACAGCATTGACAAAAAGCAAGTTTAGCTTTGTATTACTGTAATATTGGCCTTTAGAGAGGTTAATTCTTTAAATTGTTGAAGACTTGAAAATTTAGCTTCTTAGACATTGCCAAGGTTTAGTAGCATTCCTGTAAATATGTTTGATTATTCTGTTTCTGCTTTTCAATCCATCTTCTTCTCTTTGACAGAAGAATGAACAGGGACTCCCCCTGTCCCTTTAAGATAATTATGATCTTATTTCCAGTCATAATTTAGTTTTTGTTTCTATCTTCTATTTGTAGTTGAGTGGTTTGTCACACAGTGTGTTATGGCTTAGACCAATGCAGGTCCCTTCTTAATAGCTCCTGAGGAATTAATCATTTGTGGTAACAGACTTCTAAAATTCAAATTAAGAAGGCACTTAAGGAAGTATGCCCAAAGATAGTTCCTTTTTGTCCTAAGGATAAGTCATTACAAACTCAAATGACCAGAGAATGTGATTTCTTAATAAGAATTTTTTTTAAATCTATATTCAGCTCTCTATTTCAGTGCTTCTCTCCTACCAGAGGTGCAAGGAGTGATCCTAGAACCACAGATACAGCCAAGACTACGGAGAGCTTTTGACGTCAGGGGTCCACTTTCTCCACTGAACCCTTGGAGACAGAATATCCAGCTTCTGGAGAGAGTGGGAAAGGATAATAAACAAGTGGGTGCTTTCCATTATTTACTTGGGTTTATTTCTAGATTGGAGTGTCCTTGCATTGCCCATTTTATCCTATTGGTAAACTCCTTGGGTTCTTATATGAACCAGGTGGGACTAAAATCTGTTCGTTTTTCTGAGAGTGCCAACTAGTGCCCATTCAAAAAAAGAAACGTAAAATTTATTTAATTTTCTCTCCAGATAATAAAAGCAGTGGAAGATTTGGGGCACATGATTTGTTGAATGCCTAGCTAGTCTACATCAGTTTACAAAAGGGAATGTTTACCCATTTTGGCCTTTATGGTAATAGTGGACTTCAAAGTGCCCTTTTATATTCCAGTAATTTAAAAGTTTCTATATTTCATCTTTGGGCAAGCTGGATATCTGAAATCTATTAATTGATACAGTTCAGATGTCCATATATTATCCTACCCTGCTAGTGAGAACTTTTTGGTCTTTTTCCTACCTTAAATGTTAGGCCTTCATATTAGATCTGTTGTGGTTTTACTGTCAAATCTAGGCTTCATTCTTTATTAAAATAAATATGAATGAGTGTAAGTTTCAGGATGTAATATTCCTGAAAGCTGTATATACTCAAAAGTGGTTTTCTAATCCCTATTTGTGAGAGTTTTCCAATGGCATTAAGATGGCTTTCTCTTAGTTTCATTGATGCCAAGGGTAGGATTTGATTCCAGGAAGTTCTTATCTTCTACAATGGGTAGGGTAGAATGTGAACTTGGTGCCTTTGGCAAGTTTTCATTTTTCCTTGGTGGATTCCTTCTGTGACTCCAGGTATCTTGATAATGGGAGACCGGTTTATTTGTTCTCTAATTGCCCAGATTTCTTTCAACTGGTAAAACATCATACTTCTTCAGCAAAAGGAATTCTTCTAGCAGAGCCTTCATGGATGATATCTGTCACACATGCCAGCATCTGCAGTTTGGAAGGCAGTGGTGAATGGATCCATGCAATATGTCTAGAAGACACAAGGATGAGCGAGCCACCTGATCTTGTTATTTATAAACTTTTAAGATTTACTTTGGTTTACTCTTGGTCTGAAAATGGAAAGGCTCAGATAATGAAATAATTTTTTCAGATTGGAGTATTATATGGCCATGAAAATATTCCTTTCTATTCAGAAGACTAAAATAGAGGAAGCTTGAGAAACTTCTTTCTTTTAAAGCAGTTCTCTATATCTGTTTAACAAAAAAGATTGGTTGGGACTGAAAATTATTCTTACTGAAGTAGGCAAACTTATTTTTTTTAAAGTGTAGAAAATCCAAAAAACTTCATGAAACTTTTTTGTTACCTGATGGCTTCAGGGTACTAGTAAAGGGTGAACTTCTTAGTTACTCCATAGTTACTGCAACATAGTCTTTAGTTCATCTTTTGCTGGTCTTGAGCCTTAATATTACATTTTGAGATCAAAAGCTTTATCCTCTAAAAGAAATACCTTTTAAACATGGAGGTATTATTTTTGTATTGAAGGCATACTTAAATACTATCACAGCACAGTAGTTTACAGAGCTAAGCCAAGTTTATAGTATTAGAATAAACCTATAGGTATAAATGTTGGAAAATAGGCAAACTATCAGTTTTTCAATAGAACTAGTTATCAGAATGTTAATTTCTTTCTTTGGTTTCTAGTAACTGGTCAGTCAAAAACTATTAAAGAAAAATTTGAAAATCACTTGATGTTGCCAATTTTGTATTCTTTTGGTAATAATGGAAGCAACTTAAATACTGTAGAAAAGGTTTTAGAAGCCACATTTACTAAAATATAACCTGACCTTTAGTCTTTCTTGGCTGTAAGAACTGTTTTTTTTCCTCATTAATTATAAATACATTTTCATAATATAGTACTAAAAGTAAGCTTTAAAAAAATCAATTTCAACTAAAATTTTCCCCAGAGAGCTCTGAGTTCCCACAAATGATTACAGTTTTATTTCTGACTGTTTTTTGCTAAGTGTTAATAAGACAGTTTATAAACACATAAATTGGAAAAACTAACACTTTAAAAAGAATTCAGGAAACTGAAAGTGATTTGCTTAGAAAATAGTTGAATCCTTTGAACCACAATATAAACTATTTTATGGCCTGTGAGATTATTAATTTTTTTATTTAGCTTTGAAGATAAATGATTTAATCTCTTAATCTCGTGCTTTAATTAAACCTTAGCTCTGTTCCTTAAAGTGTGCAAAGAAATGTAAGTGCATTTCTATTTACCTCATACCACTACTGCAAGATATTTAAAAGTGAGCCTTTTTGTATATTGATGTGAATTGATTTGTTTGAATTTTTATTTTGCTGCATTTTCCTTTCAGATTTTTAAAAAATAATTTCGTGTCACAATACACAGTCCTATATTTTTCAGTGTTTATGAATATTAATATAAGCTATTTTTCTAGAATGATAATTGTATAATATTTGTATTATGTGATCATTTGAAAACTAATAAATATTTTCTCCATGAAAAAAATACACTTACTGATAAATGACTTATTTCTGTTTCAGGACTAGAAAGTGAAAACTGCAATAGTACTTTTTAGTGTATTTTATTATTATGTGTCGTTCTCTTTCTGAATATATAATCTCTTCTGATAGTATACTTTTTTGAGGAAAAAAAAGTTTAAATCATTAAACTCCAGAGTCAATATTGTAAATACCAGGAGTAAAATTTGGTCAAAAAGTTTAAGGCTAGGATGACCAAAATTTATCTCCTTGCATAATAATACATAGATATTTTTTCTACTGAAAAAAGAAAGAAAAAACAAATAATGGCTGATTGAAAAAGTACACAGTACATGAGAGTTGTCAGCAACAGAAGAGACACATTTTGTATTTTAGTTTTTCTTGAACATCAGAACTACAGAAGGAGAAATCATGACTTCAGTCTCTTGCTTTTAACCTAATGAAGACAACATGGAAGTCGCTTTTGTTTTAGAGATTCTTGTCTTTTACAGCCATGTAAACTTTCTGGAAGCCACTAAAACAGTTTACCCTTTATGCAGGATCTACAAGTGGATTTTCTATTGGATTTGAAGAAGAGTTATATAAGAAATGGACTCTAAAACATTAATATAAACATTAAGATGGGGTCCTAAACAAGAGATAAAAAATTGAATTAGTAATCTATAACCTGGACTACAGTGACATAATTTGGCTCCCCTAAGGAATTACACTTTGAAACAAATGAGAATTACCAAAGAAAATTATAATTTGGAATTGTTACCATTTGGGGCAAAGGAAAGGAAGCCAAAATTCTTGGCTTTGTTAATCTGGTAAGTTTGGAAAATATGAGTTAAAAGATTCTGGAGACAAAGTCTTTTATTTTTAGAATCATAGTCATTAAAAAGTTTACATAATATATTTCAGAGTAAGGCCATAGTTTATGTGAGTACTATATATGTAATGTGTTTATGTGTGTGTATCTAGCTATATAGATACATATATAGATATGGATATATTTAAATATATCTAGATATATATATGGATATATCTAGATACATACACATACACATACACAGATATAAACGTTTCCTATATGTGTATAGAACAACAGGAAAAGGGAATGGGGGACAAAAAGTATCCTGTATCACTGAAATTTACCAGAAATATTACAAAGATAATGGTGAAATGAAAGTTTTAAATAAATAATTTTTCTGTCATAGACTTTTCTCTACACTTTCAATAGCCTTCAAAATAAAATATTACAGAATGTTGGTTTGGCTTACCATTGTATATTCAAGGTTATAAAAACAATAAGCTTATGGCTTCACCAGCATTAATTAGATAAACTATAATATAAAAATCTGATTTCTGATTAATCTTTAATGAGTATACAAAGGTTGACTTAATTTTTTGGTGGGAGGAGTTGTGGGTTTTTTTTCCCCTCCTTTGGTAGCTTCTGTTTAGAAACAGCCACAGCAGGATGACTGCACAATTTTATTTTTAGCTTTAGTTTTGGATTGTTTTGAGGCTTCAACTCAGTGCTTGAGTTTTCACACTCAAGGTTAGTGCTCTACCACTTTGAGCCATAGCTCTATTTCTAGTTTTTCTGGTGGTTAATTGAAGATAACGAATCTCATGGACTTTCCTGCCTGGCTGACTTTGAACTGTGATCCTCGGATCTCAGCCTTTTGAGTAGCTAGGATTATAGGTGTGAGCCACCATTGCCTGGCTGTACAGTTCTTATTTTCCTTTGCTATATAGAAACAATTGGACAGCATGTCAGTGCTTAGCTGTCCTTAACCAAGTTATTCATTTAGTCCTAAAATATGAACAATGGGTGTTTCAAAAAGAACACATGAGAATTCTGGAAAATTTTCTCCCTGCTATATATGTTCATGTAAGGTAATTAGGTTACTCCAGTAAAAATGTTAGGGAACTTTGAAGTTTGCAGCGGAATTTACAGGAATTATGATCAAAGGGATCTCTGCTCAAGAGGTAAGGTATGAAATAGGTAGGAAAATGTTCAAAATAATGTTCCCTGTATTATCTTATGACAAAGTAAACTACAACAAATCCTTATGTTTTTGGAAAGATGTTGAAGAGATGAAACTTTTTGAGTTTAAAAAGAAAAGTTTAAACAGAAATGGATAAACAGCAAATTTATAGGAATTTGAAGTGGGTTTAGAAACATGTCCATGCACATTGTACTCTGTATATGAAACCTTTGATATTACCAGGCATCTATGCCTTTACTCCTCTGTTTATGACCCATATTTAATTTAGTGGGTTTTTGTTTTGTCTTTTGAAACAGGGATTCCCCTAAGTTGCCCATGCTGGTCTCAAACTTGTGATCCTCTTGTGTCAACCTCCCTAGTACCTGGAATTACAGGTGTGCATTATTACACTTGGCCTCAAGTATTTCTGGATTTCTGAGCTTTATAAAAATACTATCCTTTGCATGGAAAGTTGAATACTTGTGGATTTTTTTTGGCTTTTTCTGCCTTGTTTTTATCAAATGACACCTTGATCTTAGAAAACAATATTTTGGTATAAGAAAAACTAAGATAGGGCTGGGAAGGTGGCTCAATGATAGAGTGATTGCCTCGCATGCTAGAGGTCCTGGGTTCAATTCCTCAGCACCACATAAACAGAAAAAGTTGGAAGTGATGCTGTGGCTCAAGGGGTAGAGCACTAGCCTTGAGCTGAAAAGCTGAGGGACAGCGCCCAGGCCCAGAGTTCAGGCCCCATGACCGACAAAAAAAACCCAAAAACTTAAGACGTTTTATAAAATATATAAAATATTTACTTAGAGTAATTTGTGAATCCTTTATTCCCAAATTTTAGAAATATTGTGCATGGTGTTGGCGGCTTTTACGTATAATCCTAGCTACTGAGGAGCCAAAGATGAAAAAGCCAGTGTGGCAGTCAAATCTTGAAGACTCTTATCTCCAATAATAGTCAAAAAGCCAGAAATGGAAATGTGGCTCAGGTGGTAGACCACCAGCTCTGAGTGAAAAAGTGAAGGGAGAGGCTCTGAGTCGCCCATAGTAGCATAATAAAAATTAATACCATTGCCTTGTATATAGGAGAAAAAAAATCACTGGGAGGAGAAAGTAATACCATTATTACTTGAGGAATATTAAGTAGGTTCAAGGAATTGAATGTTAATATAATATCTAAAACAACAGTATTGAATGAGAATAATCAATGAAAATTTTTTCCTCGAGTTAATTGTATAATACATATTAATCATTAGTACCATAAAAAACACAATAATCTTACATCATGTTTAAGTTCTTTTTATAAGAACTCCAGTTTGTAGACACTTAGTCTTAACAGAATTTGCTGTTTATTCCATTTTATTCTTTATAAAACAAAAATTACTGTAAATTAGTCACTTTCATGAGGTAGTTGTTTGCATGTTCAGAAAAGTCTTATGTTAAGTATTGATCCAGAATTTGCTCCTGTACCCTTTTTAATTTGAAAATTACCTTAGATTCATTACCCTCACTTTACATACAAGATAACTTATCCAGAAACACCTCATTTTTAATATGATACTACTGATGAATAATTAATCCTGGACTCACCTCCTTACAACCAGCTCAGAGACAGGTACCTTGTTACCTCTAGTTTTTTATCTTTGTTTTGGACAAGAGAGCGAGTATGATTCCTTTCATTTATGACAGTTTTGAAGACCAGCTATTAACTCTCAATTCTAAACTCTAGCTTTTCTACAAATCAAAGATTCACGTTTTTATTCGCAACACGTTTTTGTGATCCTTAAAGGTCTTATGAACATCTGTGAACATTAACCTAGTTCTTAGTTTGTGACACTGATCCAGCCAGATGTACTCTTCCTGGTCTATTAAAACACATGAAATTAAGTTTGTCTATAGAATCCTCATACCAATTTGTTCTCACTTGTTTATCCAGTAAGGCACTTAGATTTTTGCTTTTTGAGATTCTCTTCAGCAGAGAAATTGTGTAGTGACATCCCCTCCCCTGACATACCTATTCATCTATCTATATATCTATGTATGTATATATAGCACTGAAGTCTGAGTCTAATGTGAGCTTGGTCTTGTGTTGCACCTTAAAGTTTAGTGTATATAGTTTACCATAGCAACCTTGTTGGGGGCATAACTAGTAGTTACAAGTTCTAATATTATCTTTTCCCCCAAATATTAGAACAACTTCAAGGAAAACAAGATGTTTATTAAAATGGTTAAATATACATCTAAAGGTACTAGTGCCCCTGATTGAAAAACACAAGTAGGATATAACAGTTGCCACTTAGTTCCTTAGGAGACTGATTTCAAGCTCCCCTATGGTTCCCAAATCCAAAGATGCTCATCATGTTTATAAAATGACAGCATCTGCATAAAAGTACCCACATAACCTACAGCTCAGATTACCTCTAGATTACTTACAATTCAATATACTGTGTAAGAAGTACTGAAAAGAATTAGGACAGAGAAATCTGCATGTGTTGTATAGGAACCTCCCTCCCTAATATTTTCAGTCCATAAGTTGAAAATATCGGGGTTGAATCCATAGATGAGGAACACATGGATAATGGAGGGCTATTTTGTCTGATTTAGAGTTTAAGGGAAGCAGACGTGAAAACAAGCCTACTAGATGCGCTTCACATTTACTTTCCTAAATTCACTTAACATGAGAATGGCAGTACTTTTTTCCTTTAGACATAAAGATACTGAAGTTCAGGGGTAACATCCTGATTAAGAGCAGTGAGCCAGGGAATGAAGATAATATTTGAAAGCAGTTCTGTCTAAATGCCATTACATCATTGTCTGAAATGTCTTTGCCCTAAAGAAGGAAACCTCACTTAGAATCTTGATATATCAAATAGTTTTTTTACTTTGTATGCAGTGATCATGTGAAAAACAAAACAGTTTTAGACAAAAGTTGACCAGAAAAATAATTTCCATTTTGGAGTTATCTTTCCCATAGCTTTCCTAATCTTTTCCATCTTACACTGAAG